TAAAAAGGCGCATTTTTATCATAAAAGTATATCTACATAAAACGCCAACCGAAAATACTCATTTCATTTCAAAATAACTATTGAATCTAAACAAATTTTTCCAAAAATATTTCATGTAGAGCAGAGCTCGGAGAATTCACATTACTGATATTATTAATATTAAAATAAATCTTATTAATTACCGGTTTAGAATTAAAGATCTTCCAGAAAAAACTAGCATTTCAGAAACAGATGAAGCCAAACTTATTTCAAATTCAGAAATTAAACACACCTGTACTGGGAACAATTTAACACAGGATTCAAAACAAAATACGAATGTGATAAAAGAGATTACATTGAATTCTGGAAAGAGTGATTTAAAGAAACAAACAAAGCTTAGAACATATGTAATGTTTAAATATACTTATACTTATTAACCATATTTATCTGTACTTCCCCTCAAATAAAGAGTCACTTTATGTAAATTTACAACCAGTGCCCAAAAACTGGTAAACACATTACCCAAACCTCCAATTGAAAATAGAACTTGCACAAACTGTCGTCATAATTATACTAAAGATACTACATTTCTTTTCATGAACAAAATATTGCTATTTAATTTGTCGTGAAAAAATACTGGGAATCTGGTGGCCGAACCGGATTAGTAACCAAAAGCTCTGGGAGCAAACAAACAAACCAGATATACCTACCACAAATTTGGATTGGTCATACACTAAGGAAAGAGCCAGGAACCATCACTAGAAAGGCATTGCAATGGAATCCGCAGGGGAAGAGAAATAGAGGAAGGCCAAGAAACACCTGGCGTAGAACATGGGAACAGAAAATGAAGAAGATGGGACACAATTGACACACCATCACCAGACTAGCCCAGAGCAGAAGAGAGTGGAAGGAGACTGACGGTGGCCATGCTCTACAGGAAGTTGAAAGGCTAATTTAAAAGAAGAATTTGTCGTGATCATAGTTTGTCCCGGGGGTCTGACGTCATTAATGAAATCGTGGCTCTAAATAACAACAACTCTAAATTGTCCTTTCTTGTTAACTTTACAAACAATTGCCGAAACGACATGAAGGAAAATATTGAATTCCCTAAAGAAATAGATAATATACAAAAAAACGTTTATATTTCTGATGATAACCAAATATAAGTAAGCAACGACCAATCAAATCATTCGTTTTCTTCTTCTGCTATTTTTCAATTCTATTTCCCCCATCAATGTCATGCTTTCTATAAAATTCTTTTTTTATAACATACCCCCCCCAAATCGTCTGTTTAATTCTTTATATATATATATAGATATCAGGTTCCCAGTTACTTTTTCAGTGGTTCATGTTTTGTCTGTCCAAGGAATCCTCACCATTTTTCTTAAAAACCAAATTTTACAACTCCCCAATTTTTTTTAATGTATGATGTTACTGACCAAACTTCATTCCATACATCAAAACAGGGTAAATGTAACAATTCAGTACATGCATCCTGGATCACCATGCTTATTGATCCACTTTAAGTTGTAGCCCAAGTTTGAATAACTTGATTTGGCCAGTGTGATCCTTCTTTCTCACATTTAGCATCTTAAGTAATGGTACTGCCGATGTAAATATATGAAGAGACTTTTTTGATTACTAGTATCTGGTTTTTCATTGTTACGTTACACCTGGGACATTCTTTCTTGTTTGAAACAACCATGCATTCAGTTTTCCTGTGATTTATGGAAACATTCTAGAAGTGCTCTATAAACATTACACTTCTCTGTGTATGTCCTCTGTTGATTCTGTTATTTATACTGTATTGTCTCCGTATCCTATATGTCTAATGCCGTGTCCACCGACATCCGTATTATCCAATTTCCCTCTTCCAGTTTTCTTAGAATCAGTTTACTATACTAGTTGAAGGGATCCGCTAAGATGACGTATCTCTGCCTTACTCGTTTTTTTTTTTATATTCGCTGCATGTTGGTGAAGTTACATGGCGAGTCTGTGGGAAGTTATCCCACACGCGCATGCGCACATTAAAAACAACCATAATAAACTATATAGGAATTTTCATCCCAAATAAATAGTCAAACTCGTTCCAAATAATTGTATTTATTAAAGTTAATATATTTACATCATTTTTG